CCAGGGATCAAGTCTGTAATCAAGGTAGGTGCCCTTGGCCAGAATGGAACCCAGGACGCTTCAGTCTGCGGGCCGACGCTCTAACCACTGAGTCATACCAGCTAGAGCCACATTTTTTTCTTTTAATGAAATACAATAAGATATGTCAGATAGACTACTTCAGGGAACATTTAATAAAGGCAAATATTTTTTCAAGCATTTTTAACTTTTGTGTACAGAACCGTGATGTAAACTGCACTCCTAACAGGTGGTCACGTTAAAAAAAAGACAAAGAGAGAAGCACTACTAGGTAGTGAAAAAAGCAGGTTGCCAACAGCTTGTACAATATAAAAATAAAATCAGGCTTGAAGATCAGCTGCTATCAGGAATGACACAGTAAGTATCCGGACCAGGAATTTCATGACCAACAGATGACTTCAGTGAAACAAATGGTCACTGACGTCCTTCACCCTGGGAAGTCAACAGTACCCAAGACAGAAATTCAGGAAAAACCAGAACAAATGTACAAGACCACACCAGGTGTCATCTTTGTGTCTGGATTCAGAACACATTTTGGTGGTGGCAAGACAACTGGCTTTGTCATGATTTATGATTCCTTGGGTTCTCCCAAAGAAAAATGAACCCAGACAGACAAACAAGACATGGCCTATATGAGACCTCAAGAGAACAGTGAGAGGCCCAGTCGGCGTGGCTCAGCAGTTCAGCGTCGACCTTGGATCCAGGAGATCGCGGTTTGGTTCCCAGTCAGGGCGCACATGCCTGGGTGGTGGGCTCGATCCCCAATGCGGGGTGTGCAGGAGGTAGCTCTCTCATTGATGTTTCTCTCTCTCTCTCTCCCTTCCTCTCTCTGAAATCAATAAAGATATATTTTAAAAAAGAAAACAGTGAGAAGAACATAAGAACAGAATGAAGAAAGCAAGGACTGCAAAGGCCGGTGTTGGTGCTGCAAAACATGAACTGGAGGTTGGACGACAGAAGGAGTAAAGGTTCTTCAGTGACTTTATCTGTGGTGACTGCAGATTTTTCATGAGAGGATTAATAAACTAAAAACTTTTATGTGTCTGTTTGAAATATGTCAAAAGGAATGTTCACAAAAGCACTGTCAGTAATTGCCTTTTGATTAGAAGATGGCAGATTCATTCTGAAAATCCTTGTTGAATGAGTTTTCAAAAGGAGTCTACAATGTTTTTATAAACAACAAAAGCACAACTAGGAAATTAAGCCATGACTCTCCCAGGCTGCCTTCTCCCTCTGCGGAGGAAAGCCAGGCTCCACCTCCCCTGGGCACCCTCCCTGTATCCTGCTCCCTTACCCAGCAGGTCCTCCTCCTCCTCCTCCTCCCCTGAGCTGTGCAGGTGCTTCTGCAGGTGCTGCGTGACGTGCTCGCAGAACTCCTCCATGGCCGAGCACACAAAGGAGCAGGACCCCCACTCACACTGGAGCCCCAGGTTCTCCTTTCGGGGAACTTTCCCAGGGGGCGGCATGGCCTTCACCCTAGAGGAGCAAGAAATCCACAGCTGCAAGGACTATGCCCCAGTGCGGCTGGGGGCAAGTGTCTGGGCAGGCAGCCGACCTACAACCAGCAGGCAAAAAGTTTTTCCAGTAACCTGTGAGAAACCCTGTGCTTCTTCAATCAGGATGGAGTAGCAGTTCCTCAAAACCCTGGAAGCTATCTGGTGTTCTAGGGAAAGGAGAGCACAAACTAACATTACTTAGCAATTGCCAGGCACTGAGCTAAGAACTTTAACAGGCATTTTCTCATAAAGCTTCAGCAACCCGCCAAGGAATCATTCCTGTGGGAAGTAGGACAAAGCTCGGGTTCAAAGAGATGGCTCTGGAGAAGCACCAGAGTTCAAATCCAGACTCCCTGGTCCATCATCTACTAGCTGTGTGACCCTAGCCAAGTAACTTAACCCTTCCACTCCTGAACATCATCAGCTTCAAAACAGGATACCAAAGCCATTTGTTTTTAAATTTGCACTTACTATATGCCAAGCGCCATACTAAGCACTTTATTTACATTGTCATTTAATTTCTTTTTCTTTCTTTTTGGCACCTTATGCTCAAGTTTATTGTACAGTCACAAGTTATACATTGGACACTAAAGAGAACATTGTAGCAGTTTTCACAAATTCAAATCAAGTTAGCAAATGACAAATTTTAGAACGCACTCATTCTATGTCTCATTATGTCACTTAATTTCATTTCATCACACTATGAGGTAAGCACTATTTTAAACTTTATAGATAAAGACTTGAAGCTCAGAGAGATTAACTGGTTTGCTCAAGCCACACACTAGCAGTGTAGTAAGGTCAGGTTGGGCTAACTCCAAAGTCCGTATTCCTTCTAACCCACACAGCCTGCAAATAAACCCAGAGCTCCTTATTTCTTACTGCACCATGTCATAAATCCCCTGCCAGGCTTTCAAAATGCCATACAATCTGCCTTTGCCTAACACCTATCCAGTGGTTTACTCCAACTCTCCCTTAACATCCTCTGAACAAAAATGTAGATTAAAAAAAAAAAAAAAAGCAGCCCATTCTTCCTTTCCCTTGGGGAGGGGATAACTCCCTCTTGCACATGAGCTTTTTAATAAACCTCTTGCCTGAGTACTAAAAATAAGTAAGTAAATAAATAAATAAAATGCAGATTTCATTTGAACAAGAAAGGCCATATCTGTCTAGTTGATACCATATCTCAGGTGTATTAAGCACACTCAGGCATGTATTAAATATCTGTTGAAGAAACCTAAATAAAAAACCAAAGGTTTTTGGCACCCCAGCAACAAGAAAAAGGGCCCGGCTGGGCGTGGCTCAGTGGTTGAGCGTCGACCTAGGATCCAGGCGATCAGGGTTCGATTCCCGGTCAGGGCACATGCCCGGGTTGCGGGCTCAATCAATGACTCTCTCATCATTGATGTTTCTCTCTCTCTCTCTCTCTCCCCTTTCCTCTCTCTGAAATCAATAAAGATCTATTTAAAAAAAAAAAAAAGAAGAAAAAGGTGTGGAGAGAAGAGAAAGAATGTTTACTGAAGATGACCCTACAGAAAAGACGCCAATACACAGGGAACTGTTCCCCTGAACACTAGCCTATGGTAGAAGGAGGAGGTGAAGGGCAAGAGGCAAAATGATGTAGAAAATACTCAGGAAAAATCACAGGTGAAGAAAAATTTTAATGAAAAAGTTCCTCTCTACAGAGGTGACATCACCTTGCTAGAGATAGATGCTAGTCAATGCAGCAAATGCCAGTCTCCTTGGAGGAGGTGAATTTCCCTGATAGATGCCTGACTGCTCACACCACCCAACCAACACCCTTTACTACCAAGTCTCAATCACTGGTTCAGCTGGTCCTTAATGAACAAGAGGCAACCTACCGAGACATGGCTTACACTGATCAAAGAAAAGGAGAATGTCTCCTTTTTTCCTTGAATGAGAGGACAGACTGACAAAGACTCTCTTAATTAAACTTTAGTTTGCTAGACCTGCCTAGTCGTTTTAGCAAGAATCCTGCCCAATCAGTTTAAAGGGAATTCCCCACCCTTGATATCTAATCACCCTCAATATCTGATCAAATTCCACACACCCCCCTTATTCCCCCGGTTATATCTGATCATCCTGGCCTGCCTACAGCTAGAATCCTAAGTCTGTTTACCACAATTTCCCTCCATCCCCTGTGTTTCCTCTCAGTAATTTTCCTTCCATTGATCCCCCCTTTTCTTGCTGTATTTGTTATTGAGTCCAGTTCTATACTGAGGTCTCTTTTCTCCTATTGCAGCAGTTTCTGAATAAAATCTGTTTTTACCACTTAAAAAAAAAACACACCAAAAACTAACGGTTCTCAATCTTTATAAAGCATACAAATGCAGAGTTCTCCAGTCCCTCCCCTAGAAGTTTGGATTCAGGAAGGCTGGGGTTAAGCCTAGAAATCTGCCCTTTTAACTCAGCACCCCAGTTCTGATGTGGGCAGTTCCAGGGACAGAGTTTGAAGACACAGGTTTCCCTCATTAAAACAAAACACAGAACAGCAGAGGATGACACTGTAAGCAAAATTTCTGGGGGATGAGAGGACACTGAGAGGCCTTGACTCTGCCCCGAGTGTCACCTCCACCTTGAGAATGCTGATTCTCAATGCACCCACAATGGTGGACCCTGGGAGTGAGGCACTGCTCCCTCTGGCCTACCTGAGAGAGGTGGACCTCTGAAAAAGTCTTCTACTACATACTAAGAAGGGGAAAAAAAAAGAATATAAAATACATAAAATCCTTCATGCCTACAAGTGTAGGAACCTACTATAACTAACTGCTTACCAGAGAAACCCCTTTTTAATCTATAGCTCTTGTCCCTTCCCCAAGAAGAATCCCATCACCTTTGACACTCTCGGGTGTACATGTGTTTGTTGGTCTGACACCAGAAAATCTCAGCCCAATTTTTTGCTGCCCATGGTCACTCATGATTGTTCCATGCGTTCTACTCTCATTTACCCAACCGGGCAATATAGCTGCTTCTGAGCAGAAACCATTTTACATCCACCTGTGTCCCTACACTGTGTCCACCCTAGTGCTGAGCAAATATTCTAAACACATAGCTGCTGTTAGACTGGAGGGTAAAGCCCAGAAAGCAGAATATCTAGATATTTAGAATGACCTGAAACTTAGCAAGCTCCCTGAATCCCCCTTCCCTGACCCCTAGTCTTCTTTACTTTCTCTCTCTGTACCCTTATTTCTACCCTGGGCAGTTAATGGACAGAGTGACTATCTGATCACCACTCTTTCCAAAGGCAAGGAATGCAATAAGGCAACTTGTGTAGTGGAGAGAACACCGGAACAGCTGTAAAAAGACCTGGGCTCAAGTTTTTTGTCTCAATGACTTTGCTATGCCTATAATAATATAACAATAACTGTCAAGCACTGTTCTAAGCATATTATATGTATAAAAACTCATTAATACAGGAACCCTACTGAAGTAGATACCATTATTATTCCACTTCACTGATGAAGAAATGGGCCCAGAAAGATTAAGTAATTTACCTAAGGTCACAAAGTTAGGAAGTGATGGAAAGAGAATTCAAAGCCGAGTTTAGCTCCATTTTCCTCCTATATCTGTCTTACTTCTCTTTTTCTGATCCCCTCCTCCCCACACCCCACAGACATGTTATCTACATACACAACACCCAAAACATGTCTTACTGAGTAGTTATTTTGTCAGTTTCCTCCAATATGCTAGAAGCTCTTAGCCTGCCTCTTGCCCTGTTCAGTTCTAACTACAGGGCCAGCACATACCTACTGGGGGCTCTTCTAATGTTTAAGTAAACTTAATTTATTACTTTTTTTTTTTAATCCTCACTTGAGGATATTTTTTCCATTGCTTTTGAGAGAGAGTGGAAGGGAGATAGAGAGAGAAAAATGGATGTGAGAGACATTGATTGGTTGCCTCCTACATGCACCCTGACCCGGTCTGGGATCAAGCCTGTAACCGAGCTACCTGCCCTTGACCAGAACTGAACCCAGGGACCCTTCAGTCAGCAGGGTGCTACTCTAACCACTGAGCCAAACCGGGTAGGGCATTATTATATTATTTTTTACTGCACTGACTTTAGAGAGAGAGGAAGGGAGAGACAGAGAGAGAAACGCTGATTTGCTGGTCCACTTATTTATGCCTTCACTGGTTGATTCTTGTATGTGCCCTGATTGGGGATGGAACCCAAAACCTTGGTGTATCCCCACATCGCTCTACCAACGGAGCTACACGACCAAAGTTATTACTTTATTTTTGGACAAATCACTTAGCTTCTCTAAACCTGTTTCCTTAAATGTAAAATGGGAAACTTAGCAACGAGTGATGGATTCAACAGATCTGGTTAGAAAGCTCCAACTAGCTATGTGACTTTAGGCAAAGTAACTTATGCCTCAGTTTCCCACGTAGCATGGGAGTAATTATGCCTGTCTCACTGAATTTATTTATGAACCAAACTACGTAATAGATATCAAAATGCTTAGCATAACACACCGCTAGAACGCAACAAATGTTAGCTAATTCGTTACCTTGCTTCTGTAGGTGAGACGATTCTAAGCCTGATCTAATTCTACAAAAAAAGGTCAACACAAGGAAAACCCGAGGGATCCTTACCACTTCTTTTCATCGGGAATCATATTAAGAAGCAATCAGCGCATACTCAAGGGTATATGTAACGCAAGGCACCGAATGAACCCTGAATGGTACTCAAGAAAAGGAGGGACCCAGGTTCTGAACCTCCTAAAGACTCACAATTTGGCCGAAGAGATAAGACTCTGACGTGTGAAGACAACGACCAAACAAAGCGCCAGATGAGGGAAACCGGGGCAGAGGCCAGGCGAGGACGGAAAGTGCTGCCCTAAGCGGCGGGTACCTGGCCCTGTTAGGACGGGCAGAATTCGGAAGGAAAGAACGAGACCGTCCGGGCGGGCAAACCTCTCCCTCGCAGCCCCTCAGGCTCCCCGGAGTCCTTCCGCCCAAGGCGCGGCGGCGACCGCGTCGCAGCGCAGCGAAGACTCAGACGACAAAACAAGAGGCCGGTTCGAATGGGGTTCGGGGCCCGGGGAGCGACAGGCGACAAGCCGGCCGGCGTGGCCGAGCTGCAAGAGGAAGCCCGGCTGAGGCGACGCGGGAAGAGCCTGGCCCGAGGCCCGCCCGAGCGCAGCCCCCGACGCAGCCCCACCGAGCCCGAGCGCAGGCTCACCGCCCCGCGGTCCCCGAGTCTCTCCAGCTCGCCGTCACCTCGGACCATTTCCGGGAGGGCACTTGAGCGACGTCCAACGACAGCCAATCGCCGCTCTCGTATCCCTCTAACAGCCAATAACCGCTGCGACTGACGGAACTGTGCGCACCAAAACACGGAAGGGGCGGGAGTGAGGGGCGGTGGGCTGCCGGGAAAGGTAGCGTGGCTGGCGCCGCGGGGGTCCCTGCGGAGCGCGGCGGGAGC